GTGAAGAGAAAACAGGCACAACTTAGATTGGAAGCAATTTGGCAACATCTTTCTAAATTACAAATGCTTAGACCAGTGGTTTTCAAATTTGTTCACATATTTAATCAGCTGGGAGAGCTTCAACAATTACTGATGCCAGTGTCCAGCCCTAGAGATTGTGTGGTTTAATTGGCCTGGGGTATGGCCTGAGCTTTAGAATTTTTAAAAGAGGTGCAGATGGTATAGACAGCATACTACCATCTATGTGAAAAATAATACACACATACAAACTAGCAACAACAAACTAGCAACAGAGGCTATCTCTTTGGAGGAAGACTTACTTTTCTCTACATACCCTTCCAAATACTAAAGTTTGGAACATAAATTATTTGAAAAATAAGTTCAAAAAGTTAAAATGAAATATGAAATCAATCTGGTCATTTCATTTCCCAGGCAAACAAAATTTTTACCAGTTAACATTCAAAGGGGCACAAGCAAACTTTTTGGAATGACAGCAATACTCTATCTTGATTGTGATAATGGTTACACAATTGCATGTGTTTGTCAAAACTCACAGAAAACTATATACCTAAAATGAGTGAATTTTACTATATGTAAATTATACCTTAATAAACCTAAAGTTAAAAAAAAAAAAAGCTTACATGATACCCTGACCTCTTGAACAATGTTGGTAGAAATGTAAATTGGTACAACCACTTTGGAAAACTTCTTGATGGTATCTATTGGATCTTTGTGAACACAAGCCCTGTGACCCAGCACTTTCACTCCTGCATGGGCACCCAATGGAGGCACATAGATGGATTCACCAAGGAGCACACGTGGGAATATTCGAGGCTATACTATGCATGATAGCAAAAAATTGGAACAAGCCAGACACTGTTAAAAGTAAAATGGATTAGTAGACTGTGGTGTATCTGTGCAATGGAAAGCCAGGCAAGAGAAGATTTCGTTTGAAGAGTAGCATTTCCAAGACCAAGGAACTGATGGCAAAGAGCATGAGCAGAAAAAGATATACAAATGGTCCTTGACCACATGAAGAGATCTTCAAACTCACTCAAGATAAGAGAAATAGAAATGTAAATTACACTGAAATAACCCTATCTCACCTCTCGCACTGGCAACATTACAAAGTTTAACAACAAATTTTGGTGGGAAGGCTATAGAGAACTAGGCATCCTCATACATGTCCTTTGGAAATGCAAAATGATAAATCCCCAGAACGGGTAATTTGTCTGTATCAAAAAATATAATGTATTGGGCCGGCCCGTGGCTCACTCGGTAGAGTGCGGTGCTGATAACACCAAGGCCCCGGGTTCGGATCCCACATAGGGATGGCCGGTTCGCTCACTGGCTGAGCGTGGTGCTGACAACACCAAGTCAAGGGTTAAGATCCCCTTACCGGTCATCTTTTAAAAAAAAAAAAAGAAAATGGGCACATCTTGCCGAGGTGAGCCCGAAGCAGCAGAGAGCCAGGTGAGGGCCCTGCACCTGATTGTTTCACAACTCTGGTCGGGGCGCAGAACCACTGTGACCACCACAGTTGGCCCAGCGCCACCACCTGCTCGGGACGAGGCCTTGGGCAATGTCTACACTGCTGGAAGGCCTAGTGTCCCCATCTGCAGCATGGGAGCGTATTTATCCTTTGATACAACACCATTTCTAGGAATTATCCTACAAGATGTACACACATGTGCACAAAATGATATTTGTATAAGATTATTCATTGTTTGTAGTATCAAAGATTAGAAACAACTTGGGTCTATCCGTTAGAAACTAATTAGATAAATTATGATATATCCATACAATGGAAGATCTTACCACTGTAAAACACAATATGGAAGCTCTCTATGTATTAATATAGAAGGAAATCTTGGGGATATACTGCTAAGCGAAAAAAACCAAGAGGCAGAAAAACATATATAACATACTATTTGTGTGTAAAAGGGAGAAACGAAAAAATACATATCCACATTAGCTTGCATCTGGACACAGAATGAATAAAAGTACTTAACCGTAGAGAATGATAGGAAGACGAGGGGAGAACAGAGTAGACAGGGAAAGGAATAAGACTTCTCAATATCTTTTTGATATTGTTCTTTTTTTCCCATTAAAAACTTATAACCATTCCAAAATGTTGCACTTAAAGCATGTTTTTAAAAATCCAGTTAGGGAAATAAAAACAAACTCCAAAGTCTAATTACTTATTATTTTTCCCTCCCCCATCCCTTCTCTCAAGGTGTGTGAATGAACTTTGCAACTTACACACGGGTTACTAGGACTTCCCTTTAAAGTGTGTGGGGGGTGGAGTGGGGGGACGGGAATGGCCTTTAATGCTTTGCTCTTGACTGCTGGAGCCTCAGCCAAAACTGGCATAAGGCAAACAGAACAGAATCCAGAAAGAGACCTCAAGTAAAGCAAAGGTAGCACTTAAATGGGGGGAAGGGAAGGGTATGATAAATAAGTGATTTCAGTTAACAAAACGACTTAGATATTTTTGTACGTCAGTATTCAAACTTTATCTTGCCCTTTTAAACTGCTACATAGTGTTCTATATTATGGCTATAAAATAATCTAATATTTTACTTATTTAAAATTATATAAACTACACAAAATTTTCTCATTTTAAAATTATCTGCCTCAGTAGAAATCTTCGTGCATATGTGAGGTTTTCTTTCGAACAGATTCTTAGAAGTAGAACTGAAGGTTGAAGACGAATCACTGTTCACATTTTAATTAAATATAGTGAGTAAACATTAAAAGAGATTCAATATTATCAGTAAGTTTGGCAAAGAATGTCAAGAGTATAAACAAATACTGACATGAAAAGATCTCCAAATCATTTTGATAAGTGGAAAAGCAAATTTCATGAATATAGAATAATACTATTCATGATTTTTTAAAAATCAACCACCACAAAACAAAGCTATTTATTTCAGTATACATATTGAATTTCAGTACCTAGAAAAAGTTCAGGAATGACATACCCCTGGGGGAGAGACCTGTGAGGCAGTGGGGATGGGAGATGAGAAGCCAAGGGGACTCTTGATTATATTGTTAGAATTTAAGGCAAAGACAATATATTCAAATATTATTTGTTCAAATTAAAACATAAAGTTATAAAAAATTAGTCCACTGAATTCTGCTTATACACTTAAAAAAATTTTTTTTTCTTTTAATATAGCGTATTGCACATATTAGTGGGGTATAAAGTTGACTATCCATAGTCATGTACAATCTGTGATGGTCAAATCAGCATAGTTAAGTAATCATTCTTGTGGTTAAGGCAATGTAAACCCCTTTTTAAAAAAACTAGAGTAAATTGACTTCTAAACCTAGTCTCTAATCATTTTTAAAATAAAAAGGTTCTATGAAGGCCACTGATTATTTGATTCTACTTCTCTAGGTTTTTGCCACTCAATGTAAGGGAATTCAGCTGAATTTCATATAGAGTTGGAAGAAGGGAAATGAGTCTAGAAATCATGCCACACGAATGAGCTAATGTCAACACAAAAAAAGTAAATGCAATCTATTCAATCTAATGAAAGGATAATATTAGTATACAGTATTAATACTTGATGTCAAAGGACCGGGAAAGAAACATCCATCTGAATTTTTATTCAACTTCTAATACATATTCACTCATTAGAATTAAACTTCTTTAAGAAGACAGAATGGTGCCTTCTGAGTGATAAATATAGAAGACTCATTGGTCAGACTTTCTAAAAGGCTATAGAAACACAGAGCTTCACACTGGCAAAGATAAAAAGAGTATTAGTTCAGTGCCCCCCAAATTCTTTTGCAACATGGCACAGAGAGTACAGGGTAATATTTGCACAGCACCCTTTGGAAGGAATGAGAGACAGTAACCGGCCTGAGTTACTACAGCCCCAGCAATGTGGATGACCCAAAGACCGAGAGCACCTTGACACCCATGTGACTCTGTCACAGCACACCAGTATGCCCTGGCACATCCACTGGGGAGAGTGTTTTGGTTCAGCTTTTCACTCAATATGGAATCTATCTTAAAACAGCCTTTCTTGTTTGCTAGTAATAGCAGCGATGGTGGCTCATAATAGCACAGTACTTTCTGTGATTGGACAGCAGACCAGATGAAATCAAAGTGGTTGGGACTACATGATTCAGTTCTTTGTTAAAGACCAGCTGGCAACTCTCAAGGTGCACTGCACCTACAAATGGTATTCAAACCCCAAAAGGTCCTCAGGCATCACTGTACATAAAAACTAGTTTTCTTATTTGAAAGCAAGGAGTACCTCTTTCTTTCTTCACCTTCTGTGGACCTGGCTGTCCTCTCAGACAAACTGTTCTTTACAAGACTAAAAACATCCCAGCAACTAGTTCTAAAGAAATCCAGCATCATCATATTCAGGACTTTCCATAAAGACAAAAGCTCTTCACTACTTAAAAAAATGTCAACTAAATAAAACGGTAACAAGTAATAGTCAATAGATACTATCAGGATTTAACAAACTGTTCAATATAATATGAGGCACCAACTGGCATTTTTAAAGCACATGTATGTATTAATTTTTTCTCTTTCAAGAATTTATCTTTTTTTTTTTTTTTTTTTTCCGTGACGGGTAAGGGGATCGCAACCCTTGGCTTGGTGTCACCCGCACTGTGCTCAGCCAGTGCACACACTGGCCATCCCTACATAGCATCCGAACCCACAGTGGGAGCGCTGCTGCGCTCCCAGCACCGCACTCTCCCAAGTGAGCCACGGGGTCAGCCCAAGAATTTATCATTTTAAGGCATAATGCACTCCACAATATAAAAACTCCAATAAGGGACAAAAATATGAGAACAGGAGCCAAAACAGCATAAATGACAGATATTACAAACCATGAAACATGAAAATTTACCACTTTGGAAGCTCAAACATTGGTCTTTTAGAATTTCATCATCTTTAACAACATTTTCAGAACACATAAAATTCATTTTATAGATGAAAAACAAGAAGTAGAAATTTGAACTTATAGTACCTGGTAAAAGTTGAGTTGTGTTCAGTCATCGCAACTAGCAGTTTTAGAGCATACGCTGGTACTGGGTCAGGCTCCATGAGAATGTGCTCATACCTGAAACGATAGAGACATTTAAAAAATACTCAGTTGTTTCCCTCATTTAAATGCTCTTCTAAACAATAAAAACAATACATCTGGAGTGCAAACATCTAAAAAAAAAATAGATACTGAAATAAACTTATCGACTATAGCACCCGCCAGGTTATTTAAACTCATGAAGCTTCAAACAGCTTCACTTGCCAGTGGTGATGATACTGACCTACCTCATAGAATATTGTCAGTAAAATTCACTGAGATAATCCATATAAAACAATTAGTACTGAGGTGGACATATAGTGAGAGATCAATAACCAGTAGGCATTTGTGTTGGGGGTCTCCAAGACCACCCTCACACTCGAAGATTCACTAGAGGACTCATGGGACTCAGCATAGAGTTGTATTCATGGCCAAGATGTAGCATAGGAGCATAGTAATGACACAGCTGAATCATAAGAGAAAAAGACATAGGCAGAAGACTGGAGGAATCCACGTGCAGGTTTCCTAATGATCTCTCCCTTTCCCAGCAATGAAATTCAGCTCATATATGTAATGTTTCTACCCAGGGAAGCCCATTAGACACTCAGTGACCAAGGTTTTTATTTGGGGCTGGTCATGTTGGCAACCTCTAACATGTATCAAAATTTCAGACTCGCAGTAGGAAAGCAAGTGTTCAGCATGCACCAGACTGTTTGCACAGTCTAGGCACAGTGAGGGTAAGGGTTGACTGACAGCACTCTGAGAACAAGATTCCAAGATGCCCAGCCAATGGCCAACCATGCAAGCAGGACTTTTTAAGGACAGCAGTCTCAGGCCTGCTATGCTCTTTTCTGCACAGCATTCTTAATACTCTAAAATCCCAAATTAAACTATTACCAAAGAGAATAAAACTCAAAATGTCTTTTTTTTTTTTTTTTTTTTTTTGGTGTTATCAGCACCGCACTCTACCGAGTGAGCCACGGGCCAGCCCTTAAATTTTTAAATTATAGCAACTAAAAGATTTTCTCATGTATGACAAAGATAAAAGACAAAATACTAATCATTCATAATAACATAATAACTGAAATGTTAATAAACCAAAGACAGCAATATGTTAAAAGAAAAAGACCCAGAACAACCAAGAGTAATTTCATGAATGGAAAAAATCAACATTAGAAAAATCAGTTAATAGGGGCCGGCCCGGTGGCGCACTGCTACAGTGCGCCGCTTGGGAGTGCGGCGGCGCTCCCGCCAAGGGTTCGGATCCCACATACAGACTGGTCCCCGCTCACTGGCTGAGCGAGGTGCGGGTGCAACACCGAGGGTTGCGATCCCGTTGCCGGTCGGGTCCGGTACGGGCACGACACTGAGGGTTGCGATCCGTTGCCAGACACAAAAAAAAAAAAGAAAAAAAGAAAAAGAAAAATCAGTTAATATATTTCCTCATATGAATAAAACAAAAATCAAGTAAACATCTTCAGAGGTGATAAAAAATAAAATCCAGTATTTGATAATATTTAACATCCAATTCAAATTTTGTTTAAAAAGGAACAACTTAGCACACCAGAGGGAGATCATTAGTTCCTTTCTGTAAATATTCCTATGGAAATAAAAAAACTTTTGTCAACCTAAGTCAGGGGTACCCAAGAATACTCTCAGGTTCAATGATTTGCTAGAAGGACTCACAGAACTCAGAAAACCTGCTATACTCCCAATAATGGTTTATTACAGTGAAAGGACACAGATTAAAATCAGCAAATATAAAAAGTGCATAGGGCAGAGCCCAGGAGAGATCAGGCACAAGCTTCCAGTTGTCATCTGCTAGTGGAGTTATACAGATCATGCATAATCTCCATAGTGACAATGTGCAACAACACATGTGAAGTACTGCCAACCAGAGAAGCTCACCTGAGCCTTCATGTCCAGGGTTTTTATTGGAGGTCAGTCACGTAGGCATGGAGCCCCTGGTTGGCTGACCTTACTCAGTCCTCAGCCCCTCTAGAGGTCAAGCTGATATGCTGTCGCCCAAGGCCCCCACCATAATTCACAACATTAGCATAAATGAGCTGGCATGGCTCAAGGCCCCAGGCATACAAAGACACTCTTATCAGACAGTATATTCCAAGGCTAGGTAGTTATCGCCCAGGAGGCAGTCAAGCGCCAGTTTCTTTGGAATATACAGGGTTGGAACACACCACACCTGCACAAATCCCTAATAGGGAAACTGAGAGGCACTGCCATTAATGTAAGAAATAAGAGAAGAATGCCCTCCTCCACTGCTTACCAGTATTTGGAAATTGTAGGCCAGGGCATCTCACATTGAAGTGAGGATGAGAAAACTTCTGATGAGTTGTTCACGTACCCTAAATAATTGGCTCCATTTACCCCCACTTCCAGACATACTTGAATCACCGAGGGAAGGAGCCACAAGCCTATGAATTTTTACAAAAGCTTCCCAAGTGGTCTTACTCACATGCTTGTGTGGAAAGCACAGGAGCAAATATGGTCAAATATTTAGAAACACAATGTGGGGGAGAAAAACACTCTCAACAGAACTGAAAAATGTATTTCAAAATAGAGTTAACAAAAAACATGTATAATCTACATTTTTTAAAGAAAACACTGTTGAAACTTCACTGGCTGAAATAAAAGTGTCGAGTTTATCTAGCCATGAAACAGGAGGGACGGATGAAGCTTGTACTAACATGTGCATGAGAATTTTCCCAAAGAATACTGTTTTACCCTCCTCCCATTAGGAAAAAAGAGTAAAATTCATAATGGATATGTTTAGAATACAAATACTGAAAATATTTTAGTTTGATCAAAGATAGGTTTGTAATGATTAGCAAGATCTAGCAAAAAGTATGCTGTGATTTATTAAGCTTGTCTTCTGAAGCTAGATAAAGCAGCTAAGTTGATAGTAATAGGATACTGCACTCCTCTGAATGCAGCTTAACAGAAAAAAAAAATAGTGATGAGCCCTGACTCTTGAAATGGCCTAGAAGGAGACTGACCAGTGAAGAGCTGGCCAACATACATAGGAGCTGGAGAAGAGCATTCCAAGTGCTCTAAGCCTGGCCATCGATTGAGATTACTGACTTAATAGTGCTACATCCAGATAGTGTCCCTGGACCCCACCTTTCTACCTCTAGGATCCTCTCTAACTAAGGGGTCTTTGTTAGGGGCAAAAGCAGCTGAAACCCGGCAGGAAAAACCGGTAATACTAAATTCACACTCATCCCAAAGGAGAGAAAACCCCTAAAAAATCACTTTTTCAGGACTCAAGGCAAGAAGGTGAAGACAAGATAGTCCATGCCTCTTCATTCTTCATTTCCAGTCCTAGTATAAATAAATCTCTATATTATCAAGTGCCTGGTGTAACCAGTGCCCAATTAGGTGGGCTGGGAGAAAAATGAAATGGGCTATCTAGATAACTGTGGATTACTGTGAGAAGCTATTCTGAGGGATGCGAGCAAAGAATTGGCCAAGAGGTGCTGAGGACTTCACTGTATCACAGAGTCCCACTCTGCAAAAATTAAGCCACAAACTCACATTTCCATCTCAATGGAGTATACTCTGATAATTTGGTGGGGGGAAGAGAATATTCCAGAATATCCAAGAAAATTTGGGGTGAAATACAATGAAGAAGATGCTGCTAAATGAAAAGCTAAAGTACATTATAGAACCACAATAATTATTAAATGTAGGGTGGGATCAAGAATACACATATAAATCAAAAGGAAGATGATAATTGACAGTAGACAGGAAAGTATAATCTTAAAAAGGGAATTAGACCAAATGGTCAGACCATAACTTATAACAATGTATCTCCACCAAATTAAAATTTTAAGTGAAAATTTTTGACTTCATTAGAATATTAAAATGAGTAAATATTTACATATTCTTGGATGAAAAGGCCTCTTTAGCATAACAAATGTGAAATGAATAAGAAAAATATGTATAACATTAAAGTTTTTTAGAATTAAATATTTCTCAATGGCAAAACCACAATAAACAAACCAAATGAAGAAAAAATTATTTGCAGAATTTTGGTAAACACAAAGAGTTAATATTCTTACTAATATAAAGAGCTATTGCAAATCAATAAATGTACCTCTAGAAAAACACGATAAAATTCACCTAAGAATGGGCCGGCCCGGTGGCGCACTGGACAGTGCGCCGCTTGGGAAGCGCAGCGGCGCTCCCGCCCGAGGATTCAGATCCCACATACGGACCGGTTCCCGCTCACTGGTTGAGCGAGGCACGGGAGCAACACCGAGGGTTGCGATCCCGTTGCCAGACACGGAAAAAGACAAAAGACAAAAAAAAAAAAAAAATTCACCTAAGAAGAACATAAATGGCCAAGAAGTAAAGAGGAAAATAGTATACTTCATTAAAATCTGAAAGAATGCAAGTCAGAGCTAACAAGCATATAGTAAAATGGGCAGTTTCATAAAGAAAAGTTGGAAATATGTACTACTGTTTGAAAAAAAATTTGCCAAAACATATCAAATGCCTTTAAAACATATATAAATTTTGGTACAGCAACTCTACCCCTAGAGATTCAACAAAAGGGAATAAGGTTGTACCCAAAGATGCAGCCATAAAAATGGTCTTTGCATCATTATATACAATAGTGAACTACTAGAAAAATCCTACATGTTCAGTGACTGGGAATTGTTTAAATGATTTTCAGTACATCCATAAATGTAGGCATAGATAAAAAGTAGATTACAAGACAGCCAATAAAATAGTGTTATATATGTACAGATACAGAGATATAGATATTAACAATATGATGCCTGGGAGTAGGGAGAAGAGATGGGGTCCAAGCAGGAAATTTCAGGAAGTACTAAGTAAATGTCACGAGGGTTGGAGAAAACATCTAGGGCAACAGGAAGATAATAATTTGAAATGGTAGGCAAGAGGCAAAACACTCAGAGTCTTGAACAGCTGGGTAAATACTGTTAAGGCTATATTCTACAGTCTATAGGTTAAAAGGCTTCTGAGCAAGAGAATGATATGAGGAAAGCAACGTA